CATACTCTTTATTTATAGGATTGTCTGGTGTACATAGGTCGTATAGTTTCTGATGTAGAAGAGGTGTCAAGGCATGTAAAAGTGTAAAAGTTTTTAACTGAGGATCATTTATACCTTTTAAAGTCATAAAAACCTCCAGTCTTCTGGCAAAATTAGAAAAGTTTTCCCTTTCATCGTAAGGAGTAAAGCTCAAATTTGAAGTAGGAAGAACTGGAATCGGTGTATTAGCTTGTAGATTTTCAGTGGTGCAACTATTTTGATTGGGAATAGAGCTATGTTGAATACTTGGCATATGAAGTAATTGGGCATCCATTAATCTTGCTTTTGTATCAATCAGCATGTTTTCAATACTTTCCCTGTAAGTTAGCTCATTTTCTAAATCTTCTTCTTCTGTATAGAAGTCGATCTTGTCTTGAATTAGGTCATACTTTGATTTAATCTCAGCTAACAAATCAAGTCTAGTTTGGATTTCATTGATAGAAAATGATCCTTTGTCCACATACTTCTTTACATTTCCAAGCTGAAACTTGACTGTTCTTCGCAATGATTTCAATTTCCTAACTTTATTTACATCTTCTGCTATTTTTTCTAAATCTTCCATTATTCTCGTCGCCATTGATAGATATTTTAGTAATGTAACATTTTAATGCAGCAACTCAAGTTTTTTTATTTAATCACAATCATCATATATACAATAACAACTGAACAGAACATATGTAAATTAACAAATATAGTATAAGCCAGTACATTTGGAATGGACACATCATATGTATGTATCCTTGGTTCTACCTACTTTCCTAAACGTCTCAATTGGTTTCCTTTTCTCTCATCAAGGCTTATTTTCTCATCTCTAGACCTTTCCTATCCAAGACTTCTTCCTGTTCTCTCCTATTTGCCTCCTGAAGTAGACAATTCATTAATACGTGACTCGTGGTCTCTATTTTTTATTTGCGCAGTTGCGTACTTCCTTTTCCACCAAGTTAAATCTCCACAAATTCGCCTTGAAATGTTCCACGTCCTGTGACAAACTGCGTTCAATAATGGTCCATCTCCCAATCTTTTTCCAGTCTCCTTATGATGTTTGGCATGTATCAAAACATTTCCCTTTATTTCTTATCTGATTCAATTCAATTCAATTCAATTCAATTCAAAACTACTTTATTCATTTCCTGTACATAATACATTGAATAGTGTCAACAGTTGCAAGTAGGCCTAATAGTTATTAAATACATTTCTAACATAATAAAATAAAAACAAAATTTCACAAACTTAATTTTTTTTAAGTCTAAACAAAACATACATAAATTGAATTTGTTTTTGACTTCAAAGACTATTCAACTCTTCAAAAGAAAAAATAGCCTTGCTGATGAGAAATCTCTTTAATTTATTTTTAAATATTGTTTTGGAAGTCTCAGATTTAATTTCGATTGGGAGATTATTATAAAATTTTGATCCCGCATACATGGGTTTTTCTCAAAAAGTTTTAGACTATGGTGGCCAATTGCAAGGTTTTCCCGATTTCTGGTGAAATAATTATGACTATCCCCAACTCGTTCCAAATCATGAAGTCTGTCCTTTACTGATAAAATTGTTTCATAAACGTACATTCCGTAAATTGTCATTATATTTTCTGATTTAAAATGTTCTTTATTAACAGAAGTTTCAAAATCTAAATTGCAGATAATTCTAATAGCTTTCATTTGCTTTTTTAGAATTAGAATTCAAATTGTAATCACTAGTTGCACCATAAAGTGAAATCCCAAAAGATATACTTGAGTGGATATATGAAAAATATATAACTTTTAGAGTTTGTTTTTCACATAAGGGTTTCCCAGCGCATTTGCCACTCATCTAATGTCTCCTCTCTTCTGGCACTCTTGCTTTCCTCCATTTTCTCCACATGTTTTTCAAAAGTCATTCCTTTACCTATAGTCACTCCTTAATCAAGTCTGACGACATATCAAGATTCCTGTTTAACACAACAATGGGTTTTTCCGAAATTCGTGGGACCCACCAATCCTACCTTCCGACATCTGTAACGACCCAAAACCCGCTAAGGGGTAAAAACCCGATTTTTAAGGTTTCATTTTAAGATATTCTAAATTTTCTACGTTCGGGGTAAGCCGCGCCTGTGTTGTCAGCGGCATCGTAGGGGCAAGGGTCCTACGTCATCGTAGAGGGGATAGTTAGTTACCTACCCCGCCGCCAGGGGCGATGGCGAAGCGTCAAGACGCTTGCTGTTTGGAGATAAATCCAACAGTCCTGACTTACGAAATTCTGGTCAATTAAATATTCCCCCCGTTCCTGGTAGAATACTAAAGCATAAGGTTAGTGTGCTACCGATTTTATTTTTGTTTAATCTAATATTTAGAGAGGTTTTATTATTTTTATGTTATTGTGCCGCAGTCGCGCGCGCCCCGCACGCTTTGTCACGCACGAGCACACTGCCTTTTGTCCTTAACCAGCTGCGGAAATCATTTAAGTTGCCAGAACGATATCCGTAGTACTTATTTCGTTACCCCGGAACGTCCTACGTAAGTTTGATTTAAGAAACCCCGTATCGACTCTGGTGATCGACCAAGTCTAATTTTCCCGACACGTCTACTTTGGTGATTACCAAGTACAACGACCGAATCTCGTTTTAGTTAAGTTTCTAATTAATTAGGCTTATTCGCATTCACAATAGGTTATTCAAAATTCTAAATTTAGCTTCACATATTTTTCGAGTGGCTATGATGAGCACTTGTTAAAGGTAAGCTTAACACTGTAAGCATTATTATTGTAATTAATATTCTGAGCCAATAAACTCGAAACGATAATTAATTAATGAACACGTTAGAGTCCTGGACTATCTCATAGTAGGCTAAGCTATCTGGACAAATTTAAGGTGTGACAGAATTTCAGGTGAGATGGCAATTACGTACTTAAAAATCAAATTTTGTCTCTCAACCCGAAATTTCGTCATATCAAATGGCGATCCGAACAGGGACATTAATTGTATGTTAACGATATCTTATGGCACCCGAAGGCATAGTCGATAATTAATTGTTTTGGCTCAGAATTTAATAAATATTACACATACGAACATTACCATAGTCAATTTTGTGTACGAGACATAATATTGCAGTGGAATATTGGTTGTCTACCGTAGAACTAAATACGATTTAACGTCCGTACTGTTGTTAAACGTGCTACGTTTGTATGGTAAAATTATAGGATATTTATTGGAATTTAATTGACTTCGAACTTAACCGTTTATACATCTCATTTATTTATACCAGTGTTTATACATTTCCTCTGATAATTTATTGTTATTTGAATATAATTATTTAAGTAGGAAATAATTAACACTGCCTTTGAATTTAATCCCGAATATTCTGTAAGGTTTGTTCTGCTTTAAGAAGGCTAGTCGATCTGTTAGTTCACTAGTGTTGCGCTCGCCTATTGTTCTCTGTATGAATGGGCAAGAGATATGAGCGGCCCGATCAGCTGTTTGCAGGGTGTATACTATTTTATTAAAGTGAAATTCCCGGGGTTTTCCAGGTTTTTTCCTGGTTTTTCAAAGATTTTCCAGGTTCCCGCGTATCTGTTTGGTTCCACATAAACTATAATCAATTTAAGACTTGCAGCTTAAGTATACAATATACATCAATTTTGTTTCAAGTCCAGTGAGCTAGAGTTGAAAAAATAATAATCCTTATTAAGTAATAATTTTCATTATCATCATTACTTAAGGCCATGGAAACATCGTCTCACTCGATGGCAGCAAAATCCTGAATATTATCTTCATTTTTTATGAACACATTATCAACGGCGGCAAAATCCTGAATATTTCCTGCGGTCGTGTGGTCGCTTCCCACAGTGACGTAAAAGTAATAACAGTCTTACGTTATCATAGAAAAATCCTGGACATCTCCCGCGGTATGTATACATTATCGCCGTCTCTCGCGATAACGGAAACGTAATCATCGTCGTCCGCGATCGTGGCAAAATAACGAAAATGTTCCGAGGCCGTGTAGACAACATCATTGACTCCCGTGGTCACGGGAACGTCATCGTTGTCGTCCGCGATCTCGGCAAAATCATGAAAATTTCCCGCGGCAGTGTAAACATCATCGTTGGTCCCGCGGTCACGTAAACGTCATCGTCCGCGATCGCGGCAAAATTATGAACATCTGCGGCCGTGTAGACATAATCATCGTCGTCTTTCGCGGTCACGGCAAATCACTAATATCTTCCCCGGCCGTGTAGACATCATCATTGCTACCCGCAGTCATGGAAACGTCATCGTCGTCGTCCACGATCTCAGCAAAATCATGAATATTTCCCGCGGCCGTGACTACATTATCGTCGTCTCTCGCGGTCACGGAAACGTCATCATCGTCGTCCACGATCTCGGCAAAATAATGAATATTTCCCGCGACAGTGTAAACATCATAGTTGATCTCGCGGTCACGGAAACGTCATCGTCGTTTCCCGTGGTCACAGAAATGTCATTTAGTCGAATTTAGGTGAAATTTACACTTGTAGAACCAATCAATGAGATTCCACAATTTAATTCAATTAAATTATTTAAGATGGGGACGCCACTATGTGCGTATTTTAACCCGAAGGATGAGTGGCGCGATCTTGTAGTCTTGTTAGTGACTAAGGCCGACATATTCCTTAGACACAGCTGTTAATTAATAGCCCATACAACAATACAATGGCAACTAAGGGACCTACAGTTTATAGTGGAATCCGTACCACATTTTTCCTTGTAATTAACGAATTGGTCTAATTATCAGGATAATACTGCGGATAGTCGTAGTACTCACTAGTGCGGACGTTAATCCACACCAGGGAGCATAACATCCACAGTGCATGCCAATAAAAATCCACAATTCGTGACCTCCTAGTAGCCACAGAGTATTGCAGGGAATGTTTAGCCTCATAGATATAAGAAAATATGAGTAGAAAGTTTCATACTTACTTCTTACGCCCCGAATATATTTTTTCAGTGAAAAATGAAAATAGCAGTGGAGGTCTTGGAGTTGGAACGTAAGTTTAATATTTGAACATACATATAAGTATTAGTATTTATAAGATTAACTAGTTTTTATTTAGGTTTAGAATGGAACAATAGGGTCTCAGACACAGTAAGGGTAAATGGTAAATAAAATAAAAAGTATCAGCAATCTGACATACTTTCCCCCACTAGCTTGTCAACAACATGGTTAAGCCAATTTCCACCGAGTGTAGTCCAGTTAAACCGATGTCCCGTTAAAAGGTGTCCGGATAAGAGGGAGTCTACTGTAGTGCTTAATGTAGATAGTACAATAAATAGATTTTACAGAACTCTGGCTTTTTTGTGCGCCGCAACGATGAAAACAATTTACATATCAATTACCATGGTTGTTGTATTTGAATATGTCGCTTTATCTAGATAATATTTAACGTTCTGTAGTTCATTTAGTACATATACGGACTGTTGTGAATACATATGAATGAATATTGTGCATTTGCTTTTGAATGTCAGGGCCTCATTTTATTACACAGGGTGTCTCACCTAAAGTCAACCAATAGCTAAATTTTTTACTATGAGATATAGAGTTAACTTGCTATGGGGCACTCCCCTTTATTTCTTAAAAATGTTTTTTGGAGTGGTTTCGAATTTTAAAAATATGTTCGCCATTTTCCAATATGGCTGACAATTTAAAAACCTTATTTATTATTGACATTTTTCTCTAAGGCTACTTGTTTAGGAGTTACATCGTGTTACTAAGAAGAAATGGCTGTGAGCTCCAGGATGCCGAATGTACACCACAAGCCTTTTTGTTTAGATATAACATGCTATAACTCCTAAAGGAATAGCTTTAGAAAAAAAATGTCAAGAATAAAAACTAATACAGCATATTCCATAAGAAATAACAAAGTTGTCAGGCATATTGGAAAATAGCGGACATATTTTTTAAATTCGTAGCCATCCCTAAAAACATCTTTAAAAAATAAAGGGGATTGACCCAGAAGAAGTTAACTCTATCTCCTAATAAAATAAACTGTATCGGTAATCTAACACATAATTTATCCCTTATTTAAGTTATTTTTTGTTGAAACTATGAATATTTAGGCTAACATGGTAAATACACTTTTTGTAGAAAATCTTATTGCAAAAAGGATTAACAAAAGATTGCTTTGTTATCCTTACCCGTTTTAAAAACATAGCTTAATTTCTAAGAGACTGTAAATTTATCTAAAAAGGGGGGTTAGAGGAAAGCACAAGGGGGAGGAGTGGGGACTTTTGGGAAAATGATCATCTCAACATGGTCTAACAGCATAGAAAAATCCAGCTTTCCCAGAATTACTTCAAACATAAAACCTATATTGACTGGGCTACTTGCTATCTATGGCGCGTCTCGATAGGCCTACTTCTACAAATTTTGCGCGTCTACTCTTTTAGAATTAAATGTGGCTCTGTTTTTTTTGTGCACAGATTTCCTTAAACTTGGTGTTGTTGTACAGTTATGAAAATGAAGTAACAGTTAACAGATATGATCACCTGCTTTCATTGATGAAGTTAAATGAACTTCGGGAATTTCACACCCTCCGTCTTCTACACTCCATTATCAATAGTAAAATTCCCAATTATTTATCAGACAACTTCCATTTTATTTTTGACATCAGCACCCGTGCTACTCGTAGAGGCTCTCACCTTTTATCTACACCAATTCACCGGTCAACAGTTTTTAACAAATCCTTCTTGGTATCTGCAATTCGATTGTGGAATTCTCTTCCTGACCATATCAAATCCATAGGTAACCGTGCAAGGTTTGGGGCAGAGATTAAATCTATTATATTGAGCAGCAGGCTTGAGCGAGTCTCTGGCGCTGGTGTGAGGGGTTGTTGGGGGCTTGTGTGAATGGGATTTTTTTAGGATTACTTAACTTATTTTTTCATGTTTACAAATTTAATGTATTACTTTAGATTATTTAAATTTACTTATATAAGTGAATAAGTTTTGAGTCTCTGGCGCTGGTGTGAGGGGTTGTTGGCGGCTTGTGTGAATGGGATTTTTTTAGGATTACTTAACTTATTTTTTCATGTTTACAAATTTAATGTATTACTTTAGATTATTTAAATTTACTTATATAAGTGAATAAGTTTTTATTTATTCATGTTTTAGAGGTTAAGTGGTAGAGAGGACTTGCAAGTCCTAACTTCGCCTCTTAAATAAAGACAATTTTCATTTCATTTCATATGAAGTAACATGTCTTAAACACGTACAATATTTCCTATATTTCATTTTAAAGTAGTTTTAAATTTTATTTTTTGCAAGAATTATTGATTGAGGCCTAAAGTATAAGAGATAGAAGAAAGTTTGTAATAACCGTTTTGAAGGAAATTATATTTAGGCGTAGATAGATGGTTAAACCACCTTTCATTAACCATTAACCGTTTGAGAGTTAGACGCGGAAACGTAAACCACTCACGCGCGCAACTTCGTCCCCCCTCTCCACGAGTTGTGACCACCCTAGAAATTCGACATCATCGATTTTTTAATCTACTAGATATCCCCAACAATAATCAAAAGTCAAACTTTGTCAGACTTTCAGTGCATACTTAACCCATTTGGTACCCGGCCTATTATGAGTATTCATATTTAAAAGGAATTAATTAATCTTAACAGCTGTTTCAGTGAACAAGTTGGTTCTATGATAATCGATAGCATTTAAAGTTTATAAGGTTTTCCAACAGGGTGCAGCACTATTAATTTTTTGCATTTATTACAACAGCTAATTTGAACCAAGCAGCAACAAAAAGCTGTTATACACAATGAGAACTGTACTTTTTTCTATTGATTAAGTGCAGTGGTAGAACATTATGGCTATGGTAGATGCGCTGTACCATAGTATACCGTAAATTAAAAGAACAAATTTTCTTCTCTCCCATTGCAAACGCAAAACACGAGTAAAACTGCAACAAGCATTTTATATTTATACGCCAACCCTGTACGAAGGACGTCCTCTGCTAGTATTATATAATTATATACATCATATATTTGTATACCTGCTGACATACTGATGACACACTTAGCACAAAAAGCTCATCAGTAGCTGACGTGCAAAAGGACGAGGTCCGCCCCGACAGAATCAATCAATCTTGTGCGTCATTAGCAAAGAACAATCTAAGGAGCTTTTTAGCCAGGAAAGGTTCTTTGATTTTTAGTTATGCCAATTTATTAATAAGTAAAGAATGTGAGACACTGTCCAAAGCCTTAGTTACACAGCCAGCTCCCTATAAAAGCTTAAACTAATGCTATTAATTTTTTTAAACTCACAGAAAACAAACAAGCAAATGGAAATTTGCTTAGTCTGCAGGTTTGCTGCGGCCGGGGTATTTAGTAATTTATATGCTTTATCCAATTTACAGCATTCAATGTTTTTCCAGTGCTGTACTGGCAGGTGCTGGTGTGGCTCTAGTTGGGTTTCTTGGCCAAAAATTGTGGAACAGCTTTCAAAGTTCATCAACGCTGCCAGCTAAGCAATCCTCTGATCCTTCACCAACTTCTAGTTATTGGGTTCCTCCCACTCCCAAGCAGAGTCAACCCCAACCAACATCTACTGTGGATATGAAAACAGAGAAGAAGATAGATATTCCACTGGAATTTGCTTGTGTTATATGCAAGGAGAATCAAAGGAGAATATGTCTTCTACCATGCAAACATGTGTGCTTGTGTAACGAATGTGCTAAGAGGGTTAAAGAGATCTGTCCCATGTGTATGCAAAAGTTTGATAAACAAGAAAATGTCTTTTTATGAAAAGATGAACAGTCTTGGAGACTTGTTCAGCAAAAATATTTTTTTGTAGGCAGAGTAAACTAAATGCTATTCTTGACGGTATACTGTGTTATTTGTGTTCGATGGATTGATTAAGTGATTTTTAAAATTGACAACATAGTAAAAAACATTTAACTTTTCTGTTTAAAGAAGATAAAATGATTTGTTAAAAAGTTAAATAAAAAACTGGTCGTCCCTTGAAGAGGTTGCTACTTTTCAGTTGATACTTAATATAGCAAGATACTACAGTTCTTTGTAATAAACATAATAATATAAAACATGTTCATGGTTAAACATTTAAAATGTCTTTTTTTTGTCTGTGGCATCTTTAAAGCTTTGATAATCGTGTTCACATCACTGGAACAAGCTTTAAGGTAAACATTTTCATACTATGTTTCTTTAACATACATATTTTTTTAATGCGCTATTCAAGTGCTAAACAATGTTTTATTTTTTAATTACATTAGTCTCCTACATTAAAGGCTAACATATATACCGGTCATCAGTCTTTCAGCAGACACAACCGAATCATTTATTACATTTGCATGATTGTTTTAAGCCATTTATAAGCTAGCATTGTTTAAGATAATGGTATTATCTTTGAAAAGTGAAATGAGAGTTTTACTTTGTTAGAGGGTTGGGATAACTAATTTGTGATATTACGTTGTAAAAAGAATACAATATATTAGCACATACAAGATTTATATAACTATCACTTATATTAATATGTATATAAACTTGTATTTTAACAATGATTTGAATAATCTAGTTTATAGTATTGTGTAGGTTTTATTTGGTTTATTATCAAGCATCACATTACTCAAGTTAATTGACAGGTGATTTGTCCATAAGTCTTAATTATTACTAACAGTAGACTAAAATTAAAAATGAGAAAATTAAATTCTATTTTTGCTCTGATAAGAGTTCATCAACTTTGTAAAAAGCCTTCTCCAATAACCATTTTTTCAAAGTTTTTTTAAAGCTAGCTACAGACTCTGTGTTTTTAATGAATGTGGGTAATTTGTTGTAAATTTGTGGTCCCATATATTGAGGGGAGAGGTGGAACAATTGAAGCCTATGTTGAACCGGTTTGATTAAATTTTTAAATCTTGTGTTATGAGAATGGTTTTGTTGGCTTTCCATGAATAATCCTATATCACCCTTCACCATTAAAGCGAGTTGATAAATATATGAACTGTATAAGGTTAAAATTTTAAATCATATAAAAAAGTCTTTACAGTGTGCAGTCTTAGGAACTCTTGCGATCAGTCTGATAGCTCTTTTTTGAAGAGCAAATATTTTTTAGCCCGACAGGAAGATCCCCAAACAATTAATCCATAGTTCATAATAGAAGAAAAATAAGCGTGATATGTCATTAATTGTGTTTCTAAATTTGTGGTATATCTAATTACACGAATAACAAATGTGGCAGAGACTAGTAATTTTGAAACATTTTTAATTTTTTGGTGCCAATTATAGTTGTTAATAAAACAGTTTCTTACAGTTATATTGGTGGATTTTTCTTAATAGATACCCGTACACTTCATGGACTTATTCACTCACATGGAAATTAGTTTACCTAGAAAATTCATTTATCATGGTCCAAGAAAATTTGTTCCTTTTGTATACTTATACATTACAAATCAGTTCTTAGTGCTCAGTCATATTGTGAAACTATGCCATAATATAGACCACAGGGTAGTTTACAAAGAAATATGTTTGGCTGCACGTTCTATGCAATTTGTTAGATTCTGAATCAACCAAGTGACAGATTTTCATTCTTCTGTTGAAATAAAGATAATTTTGAAAGGAAGATTATATGTCAAAGCCATAGTTTCAGTTTTGGATTTAACATATGCCTAGATATGTTATGTGTGTTTTTATGTGATGAGTGTAGCCGCAAACCTGAGCCCGTCCAGCCGTGCGCACGGTGTTATAATCAGTATTATTGTTATCTAAATGTTTCGTACGTGTTGTGTATGTGTGATGAATGTAAAATGTGTTTGGACTATTTATTTAATATATCGACGCTGTAGCTACAAAATCAAAGCAACATAGAAACAGATTCAACCTAGTGACAGTGGAGCTGAGGATGACCTGATGGTTGAAACGCGTACTCCACAGCAATTTATGGATTGATGACGTAAGTTATTTAATTGTATGCCTAGATGTTTAGATGGTTGGAAACTTAAATTTGGAAAAACACAATTTTTAAAGAACTATTACCAAATTTCAGGTGGGGTTTGAGTAGAATTTAGATTTGTTATAGTTGTGTACTCGTTCCAATATTGAGATAGTGGAACAGTCTGCAAAGTATTGCTATACAAAAATCCTCAGTATTGTCACTATCAGCACAAGCCATTGTTAAAACGATCATAATATTGCTAAGATCCTTGAGATATGGTCATGGTGTTGCCGCGAACACTGGATTTGATCACGTTGCTGAAATCATCAGAGATTATTACGATGGTGCCTTGATTACGGTTAACAGTCAGGGTGGCTTTACAATAAAAGCACAATCTATGTTTGTTTAAAATGAGAAAACTCATCGTAAAATCCAAAATCTGATTAGATTTTAACATTTTATTTTAGTGAGAAGAGATCCTCCACTTAGGAATATTGAACAAAGAAGAACAAGAACAGAAATCGTCTTTTGAGTGGAAAAATCCTACTGTGGTCAACATAATTATTTGGTCTCAAAGAGTTAAGTTCTGCTTCAGAAGTCTGAATGATTTAACATTTCTGAAATATAAGTGTTTTGGACTAAATGTCATTGTGGCTTCAATTACACCAACTTAAAGATTTTCATTTAATATGTATTTCTCAGTGGACTCTTTATATGTAATTAGGCCTATATAAAATGTTAATAATTAATATTAATTAATATTAGGTGGGTCGTGAAAACTAATCCATGATGAAGGGCGGTTGCCAGACTGAAAGGTTTGGGGACTGCTGTCTTGGGCTACAACACTACCACCTTACCAATATTACAAACCAACGGCATGGTTGAAGTAGTAACAGGTCTATATCTAGGCACTAAAAATAAAACACTCATCACCATTAAACAAAAGATACTAAATTTATTACAAGAGTACAAAACTGTATAACAAATTACAAATGAAGAGAAAGAGGTATCTAAATGTAAAAGTATACAGGCAAAGTGAAAAGATTGTCATTGTAGACAATGCAGGCCCATGATACAATAACTGATATACAGTACATTGTATGGCAGAACTAAATGTCATCATTATGTTTAATTTAGATTGATTTAATCTTATTTATTTATTTAATTTCTTCTAAAGCAGGCAGTTTCAAAATATTGGGAGTTCAACAAGAATGTTAGTGCAATATTTATAGATTTAAAAAAAGCATACGACAGCATAGACAGAATCAGCTTGTGGAAAAGTTGTTTAAAATTCAACTTAGCACTGGAAGAAGCCCTGCAGAAAACAAAAGAACTTGGATTGGGTGTTAAGCTTGGAGTAGATCTAAACATATTGGCATTTGATGATGATGTGGTCATTTTGTCAGAAACTGAAACTGTTGGAAACTTGGTAAGTTTGGCAGAAGTACTTATCACAGAAGCAAACAAAATAGAATTGCAAGTAAATGTAGAAAAAAAACTAAAATCATTAACTTTGGAAGACAAGCAAACAATAGAAACAGAAACATACAGATAAAGAACTTAACTATAAATTGTACAGAAAGTTTAAAATATTTAGGAGTAACTGTAAATAGTAGAAACTCAGAAGACGAAGACATACTAACTAAGTTATCAAATGCTAATAAGTGTTGGGGAGCCTGCAAGAAGTTGATCTCATCTAAAGTATTATCTCACAGAACCAAAATACAATTATATAAGAAAAAAAATTCAACCTATTTTGTTATATGGTAGTGAAACATGGGTATTGTCCAAGAAAAATGAAAACCGACTCATGGTGTTTGAAAATAAAGTCCTAAGAAAAATTTTTGGTCCAGTGCAGGAGGGACAAATGTGGAGAATAAGGAAAAATAGAGAGTTAAGATCACTATACACCGATCCAGATATTGTTGCAATAGTTAAAGGAAGAAGGTTACGTTGGATAGGGCATGTGCTAAGAAGAGAGAAAGGAACAAGACTGTATGAAGTTTGGAGAGCCACACCTGGAGGTAAACGTCCATTGGGAAGGCCGAAATTAAGATGGACTGACCAAGTATTGAACGACATCAGGACAATGGGTGCAAATGTCAACTTGGCTGAAGATAGAGAAGGGTGGAAGAGGCTGGTAAACGAGGCGAAGAATCAACTGAGATTTGTGGAGCCACGGCAGTAAGTAAGTAATCTTATTTATATTATTGACCTAAATTATAAAGCCATTTAGGCCTCTTTACCTCTACGCTATTAGTGGAACTTCAATTACAAGCCCCTTAGTAGCAAATATACCACCAAATAGCAAATATAAGTCACCCTTAAGTGTAAATATACCCTTAATTTTGTCAACATGTCATTGCAAAAGTGGTAGAAGTTAAGAAGTTAACCTTGATAACAAGTACTGTTTGATAATCCCTATGAGAGACTTGCTATCAAGGTTTTACAGTCCCTCCGTGTTTTTATTTTACAAAATTTTAACTAAAGCTGAGTGAAGAAAACACAGGTAATGGAATTAACTGATAAGAAGAGATTGAGGAAACACCTGACCACGTGTCACAATTCACAGATCAATAGGCTTAACAATTAGTTAACAAATTACTTTAATTTAAAGTAACTTTGCGTTGGTCTGTCGTGGTAAAATCTTCTTCCCCAAAAACTGCTTTGAAATTGGAAAGAAATCACGTTTATTATGTCTACTTAGCAGGTAAAATACTGTGTACATTTTTGTCAAATATGATTTTAAATACATAATTACATCTGCGAATAAACAAAACTTTTGGACTTATTGGAGTAAATAGTTATAACAAAACAAGTTTTATAGAATAAAATGCAGTCAACTCTTTAGAGCATAATATTTAAATTTAAAAATGTACAATTATAAAACTATAAAATACACATATAAAGTTTGAATCAAGCACACAACAAGTAATAAGAATAAGTCTTTTAAGCAGTCTACATTATTTGTTGCGGGTTCGGAGGGTTCGTTTGTAGTAGGTATGAGGTGAATCTTCTGGTATTGTCAACCTCTGTAAAAAGAAAAGCAAAAAGTTACAGTAGAACTTACAATATCTTTTAAAGTGAAGGACAGGGGAAAATTTGTTGATAGATAAGACAGTGATAAGACAGTATGTATATATATGAAAAATACTGGAGGGATGAGAGGTCTAACAATCAGATAAAATGCAGGAGCAGATTAGATGGAGATTCAATCAAATGTAGGTACAGTATATCCAAATACTGTAGTTTACAATGTTGAAAGTGGTCAGATATTGGGGTCTTAACAGTGTAAATTATCATGAAAGAAAACTAGGGGATGCACCTAAAAAGTCGGTACGGTACGGTTCTGGCCGTACTACCACCATCGGTTTGGAGCAGCCTACAATAATTAATTACTTTCAATTCACTATCTTAGTCAAAAATTAGTTTTTCTCAAGTAAAACTAATGAGACAAGCTAGATTGCACAATGGATTTACGTGGTTACCACACAATGTGAACAGACAACAGCATGTAAGCAAGAGTTGTATTAATAATATAAAATCAAAGGAATATAATATAAAGAATTACGTGAACACCTAAATTAAAATATCAAAGGAATAAAAACAATAAAATATCTCATTATATTCTCTTGTCCTTTTTAGCAAATTTCCCTATAGGGAAAGATTTATATATATATACATCCGTGAACGCGATAACTTAAGTAATTTTGTGTCCGATTTTGATTAAATTTGGTTTAAAGGTGTAAGGCGGTTTAAACTTGAATGAGTTCGCGAACCAGCATGATCGGACCATGGGGTGAAAAATGGCTTTTCTCATTTTTGGCCCTCGAAACAAAAAAATTCCCAATTTCTCTCTAGACTTTTTTAAAGAGCTTAAAAAAACAAATAATTTAGTAATATCGAAGTGTTTTTGTACGGTGATTGGTAACGGAGAAAGTTCAAAAAATTGTAAATTTAAAATTCCCATGTTATTCTTATGGAGAATATTGTAAAATGTTGTAGTTTGCTTGTTTATGGATATATTTTGACCAAACTTGACAAATTTATTTATTTTATACTAAGCAATTAATATTTTACAAAAAAATACACTATATAAGTTTCCTTGTCGCAGCAAACCTAGGTACTCATTAAACCTAATGTCTTTTAAATATATTTATGATAAGAGACAGGGACACAATCAATTTGCAGGTAAAAGTGAAAAACACAAAATGCAGTAGCCTAGCAGCCAACACAGTCAGCTACGAGCTTACAACCAACTGCACTACACAGTACTCAGGAAGGAGTATCTCATTCATCATAATCCCTTCTGTTGTAATTATCTTTAAATACACAGAGTATTAAATTAAGGTACAGCTGGTTTGTCTACAATACTTTTACTT